TTGGAACCCGATTGAGTCTTACGGACAACTTACACTGTTATTGATTGTCTTTCATCATACCCTATTAGGATGTCTTATACTTCCTATCCTGATTACCCTAGCTTGCTTTGATAATTGTTTGTTAATTGTTGCTTTCTTTTGTTTCCTTTCGTTTCTTTTCGGCTTATGTTTTACATGAGTATGTGAGGTTGCCTGGTTGGATTGCTCTTGAGTTGTTCTTCTGTTTCCTAAAGGCTGGCGTGAAAGGTACGATAGGAGATTGGTAGGAGTTACAAGTTACTTTCGCTTAGGGATGTTTAGTATGTAAGAGGAGGGGTGTATTTTTGTACAAGTGTTGGCATGCACGATCAGCGGTAGAAAGAATGACGATTAGGGAAGTGTTGAGATTGCTGCTCTTCGTTCGTAACGATCATGGTTCCATTCCATATAATTGAAGTATCACGAAAAAGTAATGAGTTGATTAGTCAGAGAACGCTAGTGAAGTTAATTAGAAGGCGAAGGGTAGTTGTGACGAGCAAAGAAAAGCTCAATTTTTCAATAGACTTTATGGATTGAGTGATCGAGTGTTACGCAAGGCGTCATAGTATCAACTTTTTGACGACTGTCTGCTAGTCAAGTTTCTTTTCTGCTCTTACCTTTGGTGATCTGTTCTTTCGTTACCGTTTTCCATAATATTCCCCTTGCTTTGTTTCACTTCGAACTAATGTAATTTCATGTCTTGAAAGGAAGCCTACACTACCCCCTCCCGACCTTTCTACCTCTTTTCTGACAAGTTGTTCGATTGACTTTATGAGGACGTTCAATGATCTTGTAAGCGAAGTGTTGTCTCTAGGGCCAGCACTCCTTCATTTCATTGTGAAGTTCACTATCTGAAGAAGACATGATGTCATGAAGACACATGAGAGAACAGAAGTGAAGCTGTTGAGCTGTCATGTTGTCATGTTGTCGTATTTGTTTTTATTTTTATCTATTATGTGATTGCAACCGTCGTTAACTTAACTCGTTCTTAATCCATTATGTTCAATCAACGTTTTGTTCGCGTCTTTTCATTTTCCCTTCAACAGTTGCTCTACAAGGGCTGTATATGTGTGAATGTATCTATGCTCGTTTTCTTTTTTCTCTCTAGTCTTATGGGTGAAGAGATTTCTTATTCCATGTATTTTCCCTTATTTGGCTGTTTTCTATTCCCTTTAGTCGAAGGTGTTTACTCTGCTTCTCCCTCCCCCCACACGTTTTTGATTCCTTATTTCATGATGAAGTTCCTCATGTTTCATTTCCAACTGATTTGAAGTCGTAGTTACCCCTCAGGACATCAGTGTGAAGAGATGGAGCTGTTTTGGAGCAGTTATATAACGTAGTCCAGTCCGTTTTTCATAAGCTGATCTCTCATTTGAATTGCAACAAGTTTGAAAAGAAGCGGCGATGTGGTCAAGGAGGTGAGGCTGGATGTTCTTATCAGAGTTGTTCACTCAAGTCGCCTCATTCACACATCGCAGTTTTCGACAACTTCTTTGTGTTTTGTCTTTGTATTGATAGTTGCATTGATAGTTGCATTGATAGTTGCATTGATAATGATTGTGATTCGTCTCTCTGTTAGATCTTTCTGTCTCGAACATGTAAGTGAACCCCTCGTCTGAATTTTGTTTTTCCCGATACATCACTGTTCGTTCTTCGTTTCGAATGTCGTTCGTTCATATTGATAGTGAGTAATTTAAATATTTATTAAAGACTGTGGGTAATGCTGGTACAACTGGACGTGGATGGAGGGCTTGATGGTACAACTGGAGGACGATGGAGGATTCTGGCCCCCTTGATGA